CCCAGTGTTATTTTTAATCATCAAATAAATAGTAAACCGTATGTACCTCTGAGGCCGTGTTTCTGAAAGTGCTATTAAAACCCCAGGCTCTGGCGGTTCAGGCTCGGGCTCTCGAGGACAGCCCAGATCCTGATCTCAGGGTCATCAGGTCAGGGCCTGCTTCTCTCCCCCCGCCTCCCCCCCCGCCCCCCACTGGCTGTCTCTCATGTTCTCTCCTCTCTCCCTATACAATAAACAGATAAACCCTCAGAGACTCTATTCAGATGTTAGCCGTAGTCATAAAAGTTTAAATCCCACTGGTTTTTATTTGCCATCTTTTCTGTGTGCCTTTGAAGACGGTGACCTCCTCGTATGGAAGCTGTGCAAGAACACCCTCCTCTTCGTCCATAGAAGGCATTTGCAGACAGTTCGAGTACTCTTTTATAATTCCTCTAAAGTATAAACCCCGAGATTCTCTTTCTCTAATTTTTTTTTTTTCCCAGTGAGTAACCTCAGCCCAGAAATTTAAGAAAAAAAAAATTGCTGGGGGCATGCATGCACCGAGAACATTTTCACTTTCAAAACAGAAATCCCTCACTCCGTTCATTGTGTCACCTCTTGTTGCTGGGGGGGCATAGGTACTTTTGAGCTCTAACGAAACCCCCGTGAGGCCAGAATAAGCTCTGCTGGAGAGAGAAGGTAGGGTTATTTCAAGCCAGGAGCCAAACCAAACTCATGCTGGATTTAGAGAGTTGGCTCAAATCCCTGAATTGAAGCAAAGTAATTGTTTGACTTTTTTTTTTTTTTCAATACTGTTTTTAACAGACTGGGACAGATTGAAGCATAAATGGTTAGGGATTGTTTTTAAATGAAAAACAGACTTGAAGAACTATAGCTGTTTGCATTCAAATGCACCCTGTTACTAGGAATTTACCCTTCTGATGTTTGTTTTGCTAATAATTACTACCAAGCCTATTTAGGCTTAGATAGTAAGGCTTCTAAAGCACGGTACGTAATTACAGAGAAAAAGAGGATGCTGACTCAGAAAGAGCACATTTTTTGCACTTGAGTGGATTCCACTATCTTAATTACAAGCCCAAGGAGTATTCTTGAGTATGATCTTAGCTATGATTATATTTAAATTCAAGCTAAAAAAAAAAAAAGTTGAAATAAATTGGTTCTTGAAAATTCTAAAATCTCAAGGGAAATCTCTGTATTCCAGGTACTTTTCTGGGTGTTTTTACCTACGTCAGCCCACTCAATCTTCACAGCTCACGTGGGGTGGGTGCTGCTCTTACTACATCCCCCACCCAGAAGTGGAGAGCCCGTCTCGGTCACAGGTCACACAGCCCGTCAGCAGACTTGGGTTACGCCCCAGGCCTTCGGCTGCAGTCTGGCTCCTAACTTTGACTCCAAAAAGTATTTTAAGACCTGAAAGGAGACAGGTGACCATGGATGGTTTTATCCCGAAATAGAAGTAGTTCTTCAATCGTAGAGGCTGCCATAGATTACGCTCCTGCTTGTATGTCTGGCTGCGTGCAGCACGTCCTAGTCCTTATTTTACGAGTCCTCGAAGTGCCTGTGAGGAAAAGGATTTATTATCCTCATTTTACAGATGATGCAACTGCGAAGTGGGGGAGTTAAGTCACTCGCTAAAGATCATTTAGAACTAAGTAGCAGAGCTGAGGTTGAAATGAGGTCTGTTCACTCCCCGAGACCATCCTTGCAGCCCACTCGGGTCCTGATCCCCTAGCCCCCCTGCCCGTCCCCACCCGGCCAGCTGGCACGTCATTCCTCAGTGACGTTGTTGGAAAGTGTTGACCGAGAGGAGAAAGTGGAGGAGACTTTATGCAGAGCAAAATTACAGAGCGTGAAAATATTTTTGGTTCTTTTTTTTTTTAATGAGAACCTGTCCAAGAAGCGTCTCTGGTCCCGTGTTCCAAAGGGCTTGGTGAAGTCACCGCCGAGTTTGGCCCTGAGGCTGATGGAAAGGGAAGGCCTGTGCAGCTGCAATGACTTGGTGCTCAGGAAACTGACGGCCTAAGTCAAGGATTTGGTGTTTGCGCAGAGGAAGAAAGCCATCACGGCGCCTCTTGGGTCAGAATTGGCGGTGAACCGCCGCACCTCCCAGGAGAGGGAAATTTTGGTTGCCCAATTGAGAAACCAGGTTTTGTTTTAAATAAAACACAAAGCAAGCAAGAAGGAGTCTGATTCCCCCTGCCTGACCTTGTCAGGAGAAGACGGGTATCCTGTCTTCTGGAGGAGTGCAAGGGCGAAAACTATGTAATGGTCGGATGTAATCATGGACTTTGGTGTCAGTAGGGCCTGGTGCTACACCTGCCCTACAGACTTGGCATTGACCTCTTTGCATTGTAGCGGCTGATAGTAGGACCTTCTTCCAGCGATTGTTGTGAAATACTGGATCTGAAGGTCTCAGCCAGCCTTCGGTGCGCAATATGCTCTTGTGACTTTTCTTACTATTTAAACTGCTCCCACGTTTCTGGGTGTGCTTAGTTAGGATACTGGGCGTGCTTGCTTAGGATGCTCACTTTGTGACTTTGTGGTTCTGTTCATCCATCTAGTTCATCGTGCTTGTTCTAATAGACCACTCAGATGAGCCCACTGCTCCAGCCCTCCCACTTGCTAGCTGAACGAAATATCACGTAGAACCCCCATTAGTCACTTTAAATTTTAAGTTATTAGCAGAATCAATATTTTAATTGGAAATAAAACATTCAATAAACATTTCTTCTAGAGTCCTTTACTTGGATTGTGTGACATGAAGATAAATACTCATGTTTATATATTCCTTTTTTTTTCATGTTTATATATTCCCAAGTTAAATGGGTTCAGTGTAATATCATGAGTCCAAGTAGGGAAAATGGAAACTGAACTTTGCTTCTTTGGGGATGGATTATGACAGATTCAGGCATGAAGAAACTTTTTGGGTCAGAGGTCTTATTTTCTTTTCTCTGTCTCCATTCTCTCATAGAAAATGGTCCTTGTCTTACATTTCATAAAATAAATCAGGGCATATGAAATAGAACTTTCCTCTTAAGTCTTGTACTTTTATTTTAATAAAATTTACTGTAAAGGAATGCTGTGCTTCATTAAGACCACAAAAATGCAAAACTGTTATCAGTGGACAATTCTGATCATGAAAACAGAAATATTTAGAAAGTTCTGAGACTTAATTTTAGTCCTTGATCTTACTTTGTCTCCCCGCCCCACCACCACCACCCCTTCAATCATTCATTAATGCTTTTAGGAAATCTGCAATAACTAATTGGGAAATTTTTTTTTACTCTGAGAAATGCCAGTTTTAAGTTATACCACTGTACTATATGATTTTTTTTTCTAATAAATATTAAGATATTAAGATAGTCATCCCCAAACAACTTTTTTCAGTGGTTGCGATACTTACTGGGATAGATTTGTAGGCTCAAAGAATATTATTTCTAATTTAATATAAAATAAATCCAGAAGATCACATAAGCTGATTTTAGCATGTTGTAATTACCAAAATTACAAATTTAGCACAGTTTTTACGGAGAAGACAGTTTTCAATTAATGTGTTTCCTCCAATTATCAGCAATATTCTTACTTTTTTCCTATACTTCTATCTCCCCACTTTTAATGGAATAAGAGCCTCCATAGTCATTTAATTGATTATTCTTGGGAAAAGGTATGTTTTTATTTTGTATAAAAAATGATTCGTCCTCGTTCTCAAATAAGCAAGTTTTCTTCAGCATTTGTGTTGTAGGTTGTTTTTAGTGTCGACTTGGCCAGGGAGCTCTGATCTCAGTGAAATTTCACATGTGTCCCTGGAAATGGTCTAAGAAGTACTGAGCATGTATTCATGGCATGCTTATGTGCTAGCGTGGTTGTGTTCAGTTATCATCATTCAAATGCAGAATAAATTAGTGCCTTTGTAATTAGGACTGTACAACTTTATATGTTGTTGAGGTATTTGGTTTCAAACGTACTTGCCTTTTTCTTAAAACTTACCAGTAGAAGTATGATCTGGATCTTTAAGGAACCCAGGGTATGTTTATAAAGGTAATAACCCATAAGAAACAACAGGACATCAAAAACACAGAATATTACAAAGCATTGAAGGGTGTAAGGCAGGTACCATGGCCTGGATGGTCCCGGGAAATTGGAGAGTGGAATGTATTTGGAACTCTGGGAATGGAAAAATTAGGTTGAAAAATTTTTAGATATTTGGAATTTAGCTTTAAAGAAAATATAATTAGTCTGTGCTTGGTTCCCTTTAGCACCATTTTTGTCCCTGACTTAAGGGCAAAGCTCTAAATTAAGATTGCAATGATTCCATCCCAGTTTAGAGCATTTTTGGCATGTTTAGATTAGCATCAGGTCATTCCTGGTCAGAAAGACTTGGAATCAGTTCAGCCTACACATTTGACCTGATTAAGCCAGGAAAAGCTTCCTAGAATTGAGTTGGATTCTTCTGGGCCAATCTCAGGCTCAACCCCAAATCCCAGGGCTGAGTGTCATATATATGCTACTTGATTAAATGGTCTGGACTTTGAAAATATGCTCTTACCTTAAATTTAGTTTTACTGTACGGAACCAAGTAAAATTCTTCATAAATACATGTCCCAGTTTAAAGTCAAGTTATTCAATACTTATATTTGCCAGAAGACTTCCCCTTAATACCATTCTTAGCTTTTTAAAAAAAAATCTCCTTTCTGAACTGTAAATGAAAATTGGTAATGATGAAAATGGGTATTTATAGATGTTATTAATAGGAGTTGCTTCTTAGTAGAACTGAAAATCCTTTTCGACATCTTAGTGGTCTCATGCTTTTATTTTGTTTTTTTGGTTTAATATTCCATGTTTTTATCTAAATTCCGGTTAGTTAGCAAACAGTATAATACTAGTTTCAGGAGTAGGATTCCGTGATCTATCACTTACATACAACAGTTGCTGAGATGCAGTGCTGACCCACCCGTTAACGTGCATCTATTACAAAACACTGAAACACCCGTTTTTCTCAGGGACCAGCATGCTGATGACATCAAAGAAGACTTTGAAGAGAGAACAGAAAGTGAAATGAGGACGTCGCATGAAGCCAGAGGTAGCCATAATAATCTCATATTATTGATGGAAGTTACTATTAATACTCAGCAATCAGAACTTGACTAGAATATAGCAGCCCTCCTATATTAAAGATAAACTTCATTTAGTTGGTTTATTCCTTTATCACAGGTTATCAAAGTTTACTGTTCAGGGTAAATATACAGTTGACCTTGAACAGCGGGGACTTGAACTGTGCGGGTCCACTCACAACACAGATTTTTTTTTCCCCGATAAATATAGTACAGTTCTCTTCTTTATGATTTTCTTAATGACGTTTTCTTTTCCCTAGCTTATGTTATTGAAGAATGTAGTATTTGATACATATAACTTATAAAATCTGTGTTAATCAACTGGTTAGGTTATTGCTAAGGCTTCTGGTCAACCATAGGCTATTGGTAGTTACATTTGGGGGGAATCAAAAGTTGCACAGATTTAAAAAAAAAAAAGTTCTACCCAGATTTTTGACTGTACAGGGGTCTGTGCCCATAACCCCTGCACTGTTCTAGGGTCAACTGTAGTATATAATCCATAATGATATAGATTCATCTGTGACCTGTATTTACAGTCTCTTTCACATATCTGTGCAGTATCATATGTAAGTAAGGTTTGGGTAACATTCTATGTGGTTCTGAGGATATGTTTTCTTTGGTATTGATGATGTCATTTGCTTCATATGTTCAAAACTCACCTCAGCACGTGTATTGAAATCCAAATGGAATTAATAAGGACTTAGTCTAAGACCACAGAACGAAGAGAAAAATCCTTGGGAGAAATGTTTTAAGTTGTGTTGGAGAAAGTAACTTGTCCGACATTTCTGCTAAAAAGACACTACAAGCCTAACTAAGTAATGAAGTCATAATGACTGTTAATCATAGTATATATTATATTTGTAATACACATAATTACTATTTTTTATGAGAAATTGTTAGCCTGCTTGTGACTTTAATGATTGTCCGTGGACACTTTGCTTTTTCATGTGTATTTTTTGCCTTAGGTTATTATATAAGATTTGAGATTGGCACCTAATGACTTCCTGCAGTGACCTAGTCCATGAGCGATGCATTGATTTCCGTATTTGATTTCTAGAAAGCAGTAATTTGTGATAATGTCAACGGCTACATTCCCTGCTGTCTTACGTCCTCTCGTGTTCTATTAGTGTGATGCCGCATACGAGCCCTGCAGTGGCCAGGGTTTGAATCCCTTTTCTGCCACCTGCTAGGCATGTGATTCTGGACACTGCATGGAACACCTCTCAGGGTTCCTGCTCCTTCCCCAGAAGAATGAGGACAACTCCCTCCCGGGTTGTCATGGCGATTAAGTACATTTCTAAGTTGTTTCAGAGGGTGCCTGGCTCCTAGGAAGTGCCATGCAAGCGTTTGATTATTTTAAATGTTTCTGGCCATTTAGAAAGAAAGAAAAGCATTTACTTTCTGACGGTGTTGTCATCCAGGTGTCCTGGATTCCTAGACAAAGGTTTGGGGCTTTCCTTGTGAATGGTAGTTAGGATCATAGCCTTCGTTCCCACCAGGGCCCCACCCCTTCCAGCTCTGCAGCCGGCTCTGTGCCTCAGTTGCCTCCTGTGTGAAATTAATGTAGTTATGTGGTCGCGTCGGTGGCTGAAGGGTTAGCCGGGGGCGGTAGTAGTAGAATTGTAGGATTGTGGAATAAGTGTGTGTTGCATGGGATTGTCTCATCCTTGAGAATTCAGACAGATTCAGAATAGAATCCTCTAGACTCTGAACTTTTGGAGGGAGTAATAATTTGCCCAACTTTTCAGTCTCTTCCGAACTTAGTGATTCATTTAACCTTTTATTTGATTTGCTGAGCAGATTTTGATCATTTTTTTCTGGAAATGATCTGGACAATTATTATTCTCTTAATAGAGAATTTGGCTTGATTAACATATATGCACGGTGTTCTTCATCTTTTATTTTTGTCCTGTTGGTCTCAGTTTGAATTGCCTGAGTTTTTCTGTTTTATTCTCTCCAGAAACATAATTAGGATTCATATATGACTCTTAATTACTGTTCTCACCTACAAAACCTATAGTTCAATATCCATATATTATTTACAGTCTTATTTTTTATCAGTGAGAGAGAAAGAGCTTCACAAAATAAGTTGCTCTGAGAATTTTTGCACATATGTTTGTGAGACTTGACTATTAATATCTCATCCATTTTTAGCCTCTTAAAATGAATTTGATAAGTTTCCTTCATTATCAAAGTTTGGAAACATTTTATATAAAACTTTCATAAAACAGGGCACCTGGGAGGCTCAGTAGGTTAAGTGTCTGTCTTCAGCTCAGGTCATGATCCCAGGGTCCTGGGATCGAGCCCCAAGTCTGGCTCCCTCCTCAAAGGGAAGTCTCCTCCTCTCTCTCCCTCTGCTCCTGCCTCCTTACATGTGCATGCACAGATGCATGCATGCGATCTCTCTCTTTCTCTCTCTCTCTCTCTCTCTCAAATAAATAAATAAAATCTTTAAAAATAAATAAAATTTCAAAAACTAATTTCAATCACGCTATGATTGTCAACTGGTCTTTAAACCCAGGAAACCTCTTTCAGTGATAATTTATTACTTATGCTCTGTTCTCTCGTTGACTGATAATACCTATTATTCTTGAGTTAGAGCCAAGGGATTATGTTTATATTCAAAATATTTAACAATGGGTTTGGCATCCAACCTTGCACAAGACAAAATCAACACTGGTCTTAGTGCTGAAGGAGAGTTTTGGAAGCTCTCTGCTATGCCAAGAATTACTTTTAATTGCCGGACCTTATGGAAGTCCAGTAAGGGCCTGGCTGCCTTGGGGAGGGTGGGAGTGGGATGCAGGGGGCATCATCATACCAACCAACATGGAAGTATTTTAGCTTTCTTTTTCTTCTTCTTCTTCTTCTTCTTCTTCTTCTTCTTCTTCTTCTTCTTCTTCTTTTCTTCTTCTTCTTCGAGGGAGAGAAAAAGAGAACAAGCATGCAGGGGAGGGGTAGAGGGAAAGGGAAAGAACGAATCTTTACGCAGGCTCTATGCATAGCTTAGAGCCCCATGCGGACTCAGTGTCATAACCCCGAGATCATGACCTGCGCCCAAATCAAGAGTCAAACTCTTAACCAACTGAGCCTCTCAGGCACTCCAGTATTTTAGTATTTTAACAATTTTTATATATTTTTGATGTTCTAGGCATATACCTCAAGCTGAAATATCTTCCTCAGCTTCTTGCTGTGTCAAGTCTACTACTGACTGCCTTGAACTTTCACAGCCGTGATTTTTATTTCCCTTCACTTTCCTACGTTGGCTTGTTCTCTTTCACAGCGTGTTTTTGTTTTCTAGAGATCCTGCCCCCTCAGACCTCACTAAAACCATGAAATTCTTCTGTCAATAAATCAGTGCTCCTCTTCTGATGTTTTGTAGAACTTTTCATCAGAGGCTCCATGGTGACTGTTTTCTATTTTAACATTTCTGTGTTCAAGGATTTTTCCCAGGTCTTTGTGAAGAACACTTACACCCCAACAGTCCCATTTGGGTCCGCTAACCTGAGCTTGGAGTCTAGGTAGAGAGACTCCACTCTGGGTCCGCATCCTTGAGCCTGGTAAATGCTCACCAGTGATCATTCACAGTAACATCCGTTCAGGGGTGGAAGGAGCCCTTCGCAAATCTAGCCTGGCTTGGGAGGCTGGGAAGGTAGACGAGAAAGCCCCTTGCAGTTTGTATATTATTTAGGGTAGAGGAGACTGCAAAGAAGCCACCCTAACTTTCTTTAAAATGCCAGTAGGATTTAAGACTCTAGTAGGTCCATGAGAACCATTTTGCTTGGAGTCATGGATCAGATCAGTATTTAAAAACAAAACTTCCTCCTGAAAAAAAGCCTCTCCCTCCTCCTCTGTTTCTTTAGTTAATTCAAGTTAATTCCATGCAATACGTATAATTATGAGCCTTTTTTTTTTTATGATTCTCTCCATGCAACTGAATTTGACCTTTGGGGACTACTGAATATGATTTATCACTTTTTCTCCTTCCTTTTTCTTCCTTTTTTTTTTTAAAATGACAACTTCTATCTTTTTTACCTGAAAAATAAAATAACTGATTCCTATCATTGTAGGGGAGCCTATTAATTAAGGATTCTATAAGTTGGCCTTCAAGTTTAAACTCTTGTACTCCTGGGAAAGGTATAATTTTGTTTTCTCTCCTGCAAGCATGCTTTCTCATGGGCAGCTGATGTGCAGCAAGAATTGAATTCTATTCTGTAACATGCTAGATTTTCACTTGAAAAATCAAGCTTGCTTTTTTGCTTCCATAGCAATTGTGGGGTGGTTTATTTTTTTATTTTTTTGGTTGTTAACCTTGAAATGATCCTCGAGTATCTTTCAGCCTGAGTTAAGTATCTTGAAGCTAATTTTATCTCCATTCCTTGATGCTGTGATTCATTTATCTTACCCAATCACTGTTATTGTTCATCTTTTTATATTTAGTCAGCCATTAGTAACTCCATTAAAAATTTTTTCTTTCTTTTTTTTTTTTTTGGTTGACAGATGTATTCCATTTCTTCTGTCCTTGTTCTTTTTACATTAAGAGCATATTTTACAGATTCACGGAGTATTAGCCTGAAAAGGTATTGACTCCTTTTCATTTTTGCTTTCTATATCCAGTACACTCTCAGTGATATGCCTTTCTTTCAAAATTAGAAATAATTTATGGAGATCCCTGGGTGGCTCAGCAGTTTAGCATCTGCCTTTGGCCCAGGGTGTGATCCTGGAGACCCGGGATCGAGTCCCGCGTCGGGCTCCCTGCGTGGAGCCTGCTTCTCCGTCTGCCTGTGTCTCTGCCTCTCTCTCTCTCTCCCTCCCTCTCTCCTTCTCTCTCTGTGTCTATCATGAATAAATAAATAAAATATTTTAAAAAATTAGAAATAATTTCCCTCATTTGCTGAGTCTTTACTATATGTCAGACCCTGGGATAAGCATCTTAAAAATATCATGTGATCCTGACAACAATCTTGTTACC